AGAGAATCTTATCAGATGGGAGGCTGACTTTCTTTCTAGCTGTAAGATATCCGTCGTAATTGACGAGTTCTCCTTTTCAATCCACAGGATCGGTCTTGGCTCCGACAATGTTCCTCTTAAACATCATCAACCTCCTTGACTGTACGATGAAGCTTTGTTGATGACAGCACTTTACGTGCAGGAATTCAGAGCAACAAAGCGATATCTACCGGTGAGCTAGAAAAAGAAGACTAGCAGCGACTTCGTCTCTGACGAGAGACCTGGAGGTTATTACTGCTTGGGGACGCAACAATCTTGTACAGTTTAATGGTTCCAAAACACAATACTATACCCTGGCTAACAAAAAGCGTACAGCGCCCATCTGGGTTCGATGGATGGTCGAGTTTTGCCAAAGGGCCTTTCATTTCGGCTGGTCGGAGTTTAAATCACCGAGGACTTGATCTGGCCCGAAGACATCTCATATTTGTTTAGGGCTAAGAAGTACTTTTCTCCACATGACCTCCTCATTATATACAAGGTCCAGATAAGACCTAGCCTAGAGTGTTGCTCACACGTTCGAGGTGCTGCCGGCCCGGCTACATTATCCATGCTCCATGCTGTTCAGAGGAGGACTATCCGACTGATCAATGACACTTCTCTAACATACAGTCTTGGACCCTTCCGCACCGGCGGGCCATCAGCGATCTAGCTTTCTTCTACCGTTACACCAATCAGCTTTGCTGTTCAGAGCTCTCCTCCATGATGCCACCGCGCGATGAGCCTTTCAGACAGACCCGCCTAGCTTTCGCCCCCTATCCTAACCATGTCGAACTTCCTACATCCAAAACTGGCCGCGGTGCCTTGGCATTAAGGCTTTTGCCAGCGCGGCAGTTTCCGTGTAAGCACTGGCGTAGCCATGGGGGGGCTCGGGGGGTCAAACCTCCCCCATTGAACGCGAGCATCAGCATGTATTTATTATACATTCATACCCTTCGTTCGTATTACTTACATATTGAAATATTTCATAATAACACAATATAGATCGATAAATAACCTGATATAAAGTGTATCTAACGAAGCTACAAAGTAATCGTAAACAGTGGTTGATTCGTGATCAACGCGTGATCGGTAGCCATGGCGCTCTGTCGGCCTCTTCCTGATTGGCTTGTAGCGACGAGCCTCCAGACAAAGTCGCACGGTTGCCACGCTCGGCGAGTTTTCGCCAGAGTGGTTGATCACATTCGCATGGATCACAAATCAATCTTTTGGTGCAATACGTGCAATAACTGTTGTAAAGGACATTATATAACAATAAATGGCATCACAAAGGTATATTCCAATTTGATCTGCAGCAAATTATGAACGGCATATACGGAGATGCGAAAACAAGCTCAAAAAGGTGATGAAAATTTTTGTGCAATCTTTATAGTTAAATTTTTCCTAAGAGATAGCATCAGTGAGGTAATTTTTTTCTATTGTCTTATTTTTCACATTAATGCGATGTCGAGGTATGTGGCCCTATCGCAATTGAAAATAAGGTTTCGATAATCCTTCCATAAAGTTTCGATGAGTACATCTGAAATAACCTTGAGATATTCTTCAGCGAAATACAAAAATCTCCTTTTGTGTTTTTTTGTGCAGATTTATCTATTAAAATCCTATCCGCAATCTATTTTCCGTGCACACACCTTCAACCGAATGTATGCCATATATGATATTACCGTTTCCAACTTTCACTAAGGTTAATAGGAACCATAACAGCTCCCTACCCTTCCCCCCTATAAGAATATCGATTTGTAGCCTCACATTTCAAGGTTAGACTTCTTGTAATGTTTCTGTTCAACATTCGGCGATTTCTGACAATTTTCCCAATAAAACATGATCATTGTGACATTAAGCCTGGCAACGCTGCATAGTAGAGGGAACTCTCAGCGTCACGTTGATGGTTCGTCACCACGCACAGGATTGTAATCAGTTACGGATACCCGTTTATGAGCGCGAACGTCTTATGCACGTCTTGACTTGATTTTTCTTGCGGAAATTTAATATTAGTCTAAAATGTCTGACACAGATACAGCAGATGAAGTGGTTGAAATCAGCTTAACGTCACCCAGAAAAAGGGCTAAAAAGCTTCATCTTAGCGCAGGTGAAAAACAAATTATTCTAAATATTTACAAGAACCAGATGCAAGAGAATAGTGGATTGGCTATAGAAAATATCGTATGTAAGGTTGCTGAAATTTCTGGAGTAGGTCGATCAAGTGTTTACAAAATCTTGAAGGAATATAGACAAAATCACTCACTATCTGAGCCAAAAACATATCCAGCGAGAAAAAAAATCATCGAAAAAATAGATGCCTTTGACAAAAGTGCCATTAGAAGAAAAGTACATCACTTTTTCTTCAGGAATGAAATACCTACAATAGATAAAATATTGAAGCAAGTGAATGATGATGAGGACCTGCCAAATTTTAAAAGATCTACGTTCCATAAGCTGTTGAAAGAACTAGACTTTCGATTTTTGAAAAGAGGAAGGAATAGTTTATTGATAGAAAAGGAGGAAATTGTTATCTGGAGGAGAGAATACCTTAGAAAAATTAGGCAATTCCGCGCTGAAGGAAGAAAAATTTATTATTTAGACGAAAAATGGGTGAACGCGGGGCATACGCAGGGAAAGGTTTGGGTAGACAGATCTGTGAGGTCCTCAAGGCAGGCTTTTTTAGATGGCCTTTCGACGGGATTGAAAAATCCTGCAGGTAAGTTTCGAAGTATATGAACTTTTTTGGATGCAGATAATTCATTTTCTGATCGAATCAATGATTTGGAAGCTCCGAACTCAGTTTTGCTATCTCATCCAAGTTTCTGAGTATTTCCTTCACCCAAAAACTAATCTAAGACCCTATCCTACACTAACCTAAAAAGAGTAAGTTGCTTAATTTCGTCATTTAGTGCGCTCACTGAGAAGTAAAATAACTAATTACTTTCAGGCAAGGGAAAACGCCTGATCATTTGCCACATAGGTAGCGTAGATGGATTTGTTCCTGAAGCATTGTGGGCATTTGAATCCAAAAAAACTGGAGACTATCACGAAGAAATGGATGGTAACTCATTTGAAAATTGGTTCAAAAAAATTTTGCCGACACTTGATGATAACGCAATTATTATGATGGATAATGCCCCGTACCACTCCAGAAAATTGGAAAAAATTCCAACAATGGCCACCAAAAAGGCATTCAACAGTGGCTTGTCTCAAAGAAGATCGACTTCGACCAGACAATGGTCAAAGCTGAGCTGATAAATATAGTCAAGCGACATAAGTATAAATATGATTTAAAAATTGTTGACGAAATGGCCAAAAATCAAAATAAAACGATTCTCAGGCTGCCTCCCTATCACTGCGAACTGAATCCTATCGAGTTGATTTGGGCCGACATCAAGCAATACGTGGCGTCAACACTTTTAAGTTTTCTGACCTTAAACAACTGTTTGATGTTGCTGTCAATAGAATTACGCCAGCAAAATGGAGAACATGTATTGACCATGTCCAATAGAAGGTTGAAACCAAAATGTGGGATATGGACAATATCATTGACACCCAAGTTGAACCCCTTATAATTGACATCAACAATTCTGATGATTCAAGCTCCTCGGAATACAGCATATAAATCGATTGATACCATTAAGATTGGCAGTTTAACGGGCTTTTTGGCAAGACAGGTAAGTTCATTATAGACTGCAATCAAAGTGTAAGTTTCTAGTTATTAATGTGGAAATTCCAAATTTATACTTACAGAAAATTAGGGTTAATTTAGGAGTTCCAAAGCATAATAGTGCCATTTTGACCTTCTTCCTATTTCTCATGTAAATTTTAATAGCAATCAAACTAATAAACTTTATGGAGTCTGTAATAAACTTTTGTACTACTACTACTACGTCTGTAGTTTCTATTTGCTCAAAAAATTTGCTCTGCATTGTGAATAGAAGGTTGATTTGTAAATATTATTGGGTATATATGTAAGTTAATAATAAAATATGAACAATTTCAATTGAGATGGTCCACAAGTTTTTTTCGTGTGCGTTTTAGTAACATTTTGCTGAAATGGTGAATACAGAATTTTTTGCACTGATTCCTAATGTCGAAATATGATTAGAAAGGCGTGGTATATTCCTGATAATTTACTATGCTTTTGATAGAATTTACAGCAACACATATCTTGTACGACATTTTTTGATAGATCAGTCACAATAGCTTGTTACGGCCCTGTAGCGTCTCCTACGGTTAAGTTCTTGATCACGTGCAATACGGGTGTATATGTTTGATTTTACTTTGTTTCTTCGATGGATACAGTTTAGTATCTACTATTTATCATAGTTTTCATTTACCTAAAAATCCAATCTAAATGCATTTTATTTCAATTTTCGGTTTAGGCTCTAAGGTTATTTCGCGCGAGCTTGCGCCACTTAAACTTTTGGCAACATCGCGCTCCTCGATCTCTTGATATTTATTCATCCAGACAGCCACCGAAGTTAAATTCTATACTCCAAATTTTTCATTTGTGTAGTGCATGCTAATTTGCTAATGTGTTAATGTGCTAGTTATATAACAGGTAAGCCCTAAGATTTAGAATATTCTTAATATAGCGAGCACCTACCAAGTAAATTAAAGGGAGGCTGTATTCTAGATCCCAAAAAGTTTCGTCCGCGGACCGCAACCAACGACCGCGACACGACGACAGCAGACACAGTTGCCAGATCGCTTCCATTTAGCGTGATTTATTTCGATAATAATATTTAATTACAGTATGTGTATTACTCTGTGCCTATGTATTAATGTGTGAATTATATTCAGTAGAGAGATTCTCTTAGATGGTGCTATTGTTAAATAAGCCGGAGGGAGTAAAATAAAATAAATGTTTTTCTCAATGTTTCAGCAATGTTCTCGGATTACTCTGATATAGATTTCCTGATTTAAACGAATCAAACGATTTTATTCATTTTATTGACTCTTTTCACTTGTTTTAGCAGAATGGCTGATAGAAAGAAAAAACTTAATACGCTCGATTCTTTTTTTACGAAGCAGCAAAAAATTGGCGAGGACGAATCAACGAATTCATCAACTTCTACCGCTATCGTTCAGGCAGACAACGAACAACCCTCCACTTCTCAATTTTCAGCCAGAGATCAAGATAATATAAATCAGCATGACATTGCTCACTTTGTAGGACATAAGGTTAATATCGATATCATCAAAGTTATTACTGACCTTTGGAAGCCTATGCCAGACTTCAAATTTCCGGTGTCAAGCAAGAGGAATCTGAAGTTTCAGTATTGTTGGTTCCATCGTTGGAATTGGCTAGCATATTCTCAAAAAGAAGATGGTGCCTATTGCAAGTTTTGTGTTTTTTACGCAGAAACAGGTGGCGTTGGAAGCCAGTCTCTAGGGAAACTTGTGAAGGCACCTTTTAATAATTGGAAAGATGCAGTCGAAGCGTTTGATAAACACCAAGTCAAAGAGTCCCACAAATTTAGTGTGGTGAAATTCAGCCATCAACAGCTAATTGTAGATCAAAAACAGCAATTTATCGATCTTCAGATTGATGTAGCATCAAAAAATAAAATTATAGGAAATAGAAAAAAATTAGTACCGATAGTAGATGCAATTATTCTTTGTGGGAGGCAGGGAATTCCTCTAAGGGGTCATGACGATTCCGGACCGATAGAATCTGCTGATATTCCTGTACACAACGACGGAAACTTTAGAGCTATTTTACGGACTAATCTTAAGTCAGGAGATGAAATGTTGCAGCTACACTTACAAAATATGTCTAAGACTGCGACATATCTCAGTCCAACAATCCAAAATGAAATTCTTGCAATTTGTGGGAAAATTATCAGACAAAATTATTACTAGATTAAAACAGGCAAAATTTTTCTCAGTTCTTGTGGATAAATCTACTGACATATCAGGAATTGAACAGTCCTCTATATGTATACGATTTTGTAACATAGAGACCAGAAAAATTGAAGAACATTTTGTAGGATTTGTTCCCATAATCGATTTAACTGGTCAAGGACTCGCTAATACAATCCTACAAACATTAGAAGAATTTGATATTGACTGCTCATTTTTAGTTGGACAAGGATATGACGGCGCATCGGCAATGAGTGGGCATACACTTGGTGTGCAGGCATGTATCCGCAAAAAATATCCTTGTGCACTGTATGTGCATTGCTCTTCGCATTCGCTTAACCTTGCAATATCAGACTCATGTGACGTAGCGCATATAAGAAATTGTTTGGGAACAATAAATAAAATTGCAGTATTTTTCAATACCCCTAAAAGGCTTAATGTATTAAAGTCGCATATTGATAAAGTGTCTACAGAATCGAAAAAAGAAAAGTTGAAAAAGCTGTGTAGTACTAGATGGGTTGAGAGACATGATGCCATTTGACTTTCCTGGAGTTGCATGAAGTTACTATCGCCGCTCTTTCCGAAATTCAACTATGGAGAGATAAAGATTCCTCCTCTGACGAATTTTCCTTTCTAAAATCCATCCAAACCTTAGAATTCCAATTTTCGCTTAGAATTATTTCAAAAATATTCGCCATTACCCTACCTCTCTCCAAACAACTGCAGACCACCAATTTGGATCTAGGGCAGGCCTTAGATTTGGCTGAAAGTGTTCAAAACCGGCTTTTATCTATCAGGGATAATGCCGAAGGCGAGTTCAACCAAATTTTTAAAGATGTTGAAACCTCCTGTAAAGAAATGGATATAGAGATGGCTCTTCCTAGAACAAACTCTCGACAAACTCAAAGAAACAATGTTCCAGCTGAGGTACCTGAAGAATACTTTAGAAGAGCATATTTTATACCGTTTGTCGATTCTAGTATTAACCATCTTAAAGAGAAGCTATTAAAGCACAACAAAATTGTACAAGGATTTCAAGTACTTCTACCAAATAAACATTTTAATGAAGGTGGCCTAGAGAAACTGTATGATTTTTATGAACACTTCTTGGAAGCTTGCAGCTTTGAAACTTTACTCGGCGAAGTAAAACTATGGCGTTAGCTTTCAGAAGATCTGGAAAATCTCCCACAAGATGCTTTAAGCTGCTTAACGTTCCTTTTCGAAAACGGCAAGTACGAATATTTTCCTAATGTTGCTGCTTTGTTACAAATATATGTCACAATACCAGTAACGACAGCGTCAAACGAACGCACCTTTTCGACGTTGTGACGATTAAAAACATACTTGAGAAATACACTGTGCCAGGATCGACTAAACGGATTGTCTTTGTTGAATATTCATCGAGAAGTTTCTGTTTCCGCGGAAGAAGTTATAGATGCATTTGCAAAGTCTACACGAAAACTTCTTTTGTTATAAAGTGACTGACGACAAAAAAAAAATATATATTCGTTATTAGTTGTTGTTATTAGGATGTTACTTACTTTTATTTAAAACTGTGTTTTAATGCTACCAATGATTTAACCAAAGAATATGTTTTCAGTTCAAATAAACATTATTTATTTATGTTATTTTGTTTCATTTGATATATCTTAAAAAATCATAATTTACGAAATGGTGGGAGCGCTAGATTAGCGCATCTTGTCTCGGCCACTTCTCATAGCGGGTAAACCCCCCCCAAAAGGAATTGCTGACTACGCCACTGCGTGTAAGAAATACAACACCCTCTATCTCGGTAAATGATCATTTTATGGCTCATGTTTATATCAACTTTTAGTTTTATTTTCTTTCTTTCACTATTTGTATCTATCTATTTATTTTGAAGGATTTTTAAACTACAAAAATCCATTTGACCTACTGATTAACCAAACAAAGCATCGGATCTCATTCCACCAAATAATTACTCGGTGCTTATACATGTAGGCAATAACAAACATTACAGCTCCTTCATTAAGTACGATCATTTTTCATCCTTATTTCGACTACCTGATGTGGAAGATTTATATGCATTCACTTGCGAATCATCACAATAGGCAATAAAACGGTCTGTCATACGCCATTAACTGCTCAAAAATTACAAAAGATATGTGTGCATCACTGTGGCTTCCTATTGCTCTTACATCACTTATCATTTATTAACACTGTTTAATTTGGCTGAAGCTAATGGTTTTAGTGTTAATTATCATCTACATTTTTGGACATATACCTACAGGCTGTTTATCAATAGTTGCTATTTTGATTTATAATATCATTTTCTGGATCATTTGTAGAAACTTCTTTGTTAATCATCGTCGAGTATGTAGTATAATTTAGCACCTCATGCACTACTCTTTCCTACTTCATAGAGCGGCAACGCATTTTTAACATCTTCTAATCGCACAAAAATTGACTTCATATCTGGTATTTTTACAAGGCTATTGTCGACACTTTATCCTGAAAGGAAAGATACGGAATGAATGATGAGACTAACATGAGCAACTACGATGTTCTGGTTTATTGTTCAAAGTATTAGACACTATGTAACATAGTAATTAAAAATGATTTATTAAAATAGGAGTGTACTGAAACTATTGTGGCCATAATGAAGGACAGTACCCGGAATCGCTAAATATAGACGTTCCTCATTTGAAGACTTTACACAATGGGGTAACATAGCTACCAATCAATTTTTTTGAATCTTTTTTTATATTCTGACAAAGACCAACAAAGAAATGTTATGAGAGATTAATACAATTGCAAATTACAATATAACTCAAGTAGTAGCAAATTAGTTTGATTAATAACCACCATTCTAGATGACTACCATTCTATTCCGCCATCACAAATTGCTGTGCATTAATAATCTTTTATTACATTTTATATATTAATTATCAGAGTATTTTTTATTAAAAGCCTTTTCATTGAAATGCGAAGATCGCTAAAGTAGGTCCAGGTAGGAATTGAGGACTTAAACGCAACAATTTAAAAAATGATACATGTCGTAAATGAGTTAATGATTTGCTTCGAATTTCTGCTGTTGTATGCATTAGATTACTTTTTATACACAAAAGTTCTCAAAACCGAACCCCCATTTCGTTACCAATTAGAAAATGCAGGAGAAAATAGCCAAAATCGAGTTTTAAAAGCAAAAAAAAAACCTCTACTTTGTAATATTAAGCATGATTTAGTTTACACGTTTATAAATCGTAGTTAAAAATGTTGATTTAAAAAGTCTAACAAAGAAACTCACAGAGTAGACTTTCACCACTTACGTATCCACCAACGCCCAAGTGCCGTCGATGCCCTCGATTCAAAGGGCTCTCTACACTATGCGGGAAGTAACATTCAGGCATAAGACCGTAAGACGGATGCTCTTGTCGCTCGACATCAACAACGCTTTGGGTCCGGACGGATTTGATTCCTACCATTGTATTGAAGAGATGTGCAGCGGAGCTAGCACCAGTTCTTTAGCGTCTCTTTCAGATATCGAATTCGCCACCTTCCCAGAAAACTGGAAATTTGCTCATATTCCAACTCATCCCAAAAAAAGGGTTTAAGATCAACCCTTACAACTACAGGCCTACCCTGCATAAACCGGGAGCTTCCGGACACCTCCTAGGTTACTTCACGCAATTATGGAGTAAGCTCATCCAGTCTTAGGGTAAGGCTCATGTAGTTGCTCTTGATATCACGAAAGCGATCGATCAGCTGTGGTACGCTGCCTTCTTATGCAAACTTCCTTCCTTTGAAATTCTAGAGAAGCTTTGCAGATGGGTGGCTGATTGTCATTCTGGCCGCACGATATTCGTAGTAATTGAATTGATTTATCCCAAAACGTCATTGCGGGTGTTCTCCAGTGATCGTTCTTGGCTCCGATACTGTTCTTCTTGCATATAAACGACCTTCTTTTCTGTACGATCAACCCAATCCACAGCTTTGCTGGTGATAGCATTCTGCATGCAGGAGAGCTGGAAAAAAAGACTCGCGGCGACGTCTTCCCTGTCGAGAGACCTGGAGGAAATCACTACTTGGGGACGTAACAATCTTGTACAGTTTAATGCTTCCAAAACACAGTGTATCTTGACGAATAAAAGGCGTTCTAGCGCTCATCAGGTTTAGATGGATGGTCGAGTTCTGTCAAAGTGCCGTTCATTTCGGCTGGTCGGAGTCCAGAGCACCGGGGACTTCACCTGGCATGATCATAACTCGTCAATAGGTAACCTTAGGCAGTTCAGAAATCGGATTAAGAAAATGTCCTTGGGATCCTCATAGCAGCCGGGGTAACCTAACATTTAGGCTTCTGCCTGCACGGCTGCTTCGGTATAAAGAAAGCTACTGGATTTGAAAATTAGATGCGTGCCAAAACAGAAATCTTAGTCAAAATTGTCAATCATTATTGAACATTTCATTCTTAACTGAGAATACAGAATACATTTAAAGCAGATACATTGTTTTTAATTCCTTAGAGACAACATTTGCAGACGTACACTTCTTTTCCTGCTCCCATCCCATCTTCCTATTCTCAAGGACATCAATAGCTCTAGTGAATAGCTCCGTTCCCTTTTATTAGTGTTTACCATTAGCCATTTCGAAGTTGTGGAGGGATTTAAAAAAAATAGTGGATAGTAGATTTAGGGCCAATTCCTCCAGTTTTAATTAAAACTAAACTGCGAAATCGTCCTTATGTCGATAGCGACCTGATGATAGCTCTGGCAAAAAGAGAACCTAGAATCAACCAACTGGTACTGAACGTGCAATCTCAAGTGTCTCATTAGTACCTACTCTTATTTTATTCAAGTTTTTCGATAAAAAACATTTATTAGTTCATTATGTTTCAAAGTTTTTATATTAGAATTAAAATAAAAGTCTTTGTACCTATATAATGTGCGTTGTTTTGTATTTACTGAAAAAGTAAAGGGGGACATGAAAATATAATTTATAGTCCGGGGAGCCTCAACAAAAAAAAAAGGTTGGGAAACCCTGCTCTAATTAAATGTCATATAAAATTCACAAGTATAGCCAAATGCGGCACCTGTGGTGCACTAATGTGCACTTACTATATCTATAGTCGTCTGCCGAATATACAATTCCTTACTATAAGCCGTAAGGATTTGTAGCGCTTAAAATAATCAATTGGAAGTGTACCAGTGTACCACGTCGTCTTGAACGTGTTAAGGTCCTCTGCAAAACTGTAATTGTGTAGTTTTTATATTTTTTATGTCTATTACTGTATATTTGTGTTGTTTAAGCTTCTGTTCTCCCACCAATGATTGATTGATCTGTTGGTGGTGTGAATAAATAAATAAGAAATAAACACATTACAAAAACCGTTTCCAGAAGCGCTCATACGAGTCTGTACATATATTCTGGAACACCCTGTATATCATGTTAGGTCAGTACTGTCTTGAATTTCTACACAAAACACAAAACGTTGCAATACTGTTAATTACTAACAGTTATTTTTTTAATGTATTTGAAATTAAATGAGAAAGGCAGATCAAAGTGAATCTCTATTTTTGTTTCTTTCTGATAGGCTAGAATCTGCGATTGTTCCCATTACATTATGTAATAAAAAGTTGGTCTAATCTCTGCCATTTCCGCGGTTGTGTGAGAAAATAAGAAAACGACTATTCAATTTGACATTAACTTGCATTAACTTATGATGAAATTTCGCAGACGACCGCAAAAATCTGTTTTTTACATAACCCTAAACGATTTCTTGAAATTATGTTAGTTGTAAAACACATCTGATATTGCAAAGATAATTGTGCACGAACTATTGCAATTCAAAGATTCCTTTTGATTAAATGACCTCTATATTTAATAAGAAATTTCGCGAGATACACATCACTGCTGTCTGGAGATTTTTATTCTTCACGGAAATCGCGCCATTCAGAGTCTTGTATGTCGAATAATGTACTGCTGACAACCAATGATAGTTGCAGATCCTCGGAAGCATAAGGTAAAAGTATAAATTCTTGCTTAGGAGAAAAAGGTAGAAGTATAAGCATATCCTTGTTTTCATATTCATAATGATTACCTTATACTCGCTAGGATATCCTCCAAGAAGAAGTAAAAGGTTGACTGGTATTTGTATCTTGAGCGACATGTCCTGACTTGTTCCAGCTTGTAGTTGACGTGGGAGTTCATTCACTCAGGATCACTACAGTTGTACTCCAGAGCATACACAGATCGTTCCGTATTTTTACTGGATACAGTTTTTTATCAAATTAATAAGCATGTTATCCTCAAGTGATGAGGAAACTATAGAAAATAATGGCAACGACCTGCAGTTCAACGCAGATGAAATTGCCATTGCTCCCCTTATTTTGCAAAAGTCACAAGTTCCAAAAATAAAAATGAGAAAGGACGATGCCTTGAAGAAGATGTTGAAAAAATACGAATCAACATTCGGTAAACCATTAGATACTAAAGGCTTATTAAGAAAATCAATAACATGAAATCAAGATTGAAGAAAAAACAGATCTAAAAAAAAACTGGTAATAAAGCAATTAAATCGTTAGATTGGGAAAGAAAGTTGCTAGAAGCTATGGAAGGTGACTGTAGTCCTACAACTGGGAAAATTAGAGGTGCTATTCAGGTTGGTAGTGTTCAAGAAGAAGGAAGTGAACAATGTACCGAGCGCAGTGAACAAACAGTTTAGTATTACAGCGCCAGCAAGTCAAAGGACATTGCCACCAAAAAGAAAATTAGCAACAGAGAAATACGAAACTGAGAAAACCAAAGGGTTAACTACAAAAGAACTGCAACGTTTAGTTCTATTACAGAAGTATCAAACAAGTATTTCACAACAAGAGTATAAAACGAAATTAGAAATGATGCAGCGTCAGAAGCCACCTGTAACTTATGATGTTCATGAAAATAAATCTTATTATAACTTATGAATAGACTTTAATCAGTAAAACTATTTATTATAATACTCAAGTTTCTTCCTATTGTTGACCTAGTTGACGGAGGGGAAGTACGTCATTCTCGTGATTTACTTCATCTTCATCTGGGTCTTGTTTAACTAACTCAAAGTCAGGATCGCCCAAGCTCTTCGCAACATTATGGAATACAATACAAGCAATAATTATTTTCGGCACATTTTCCAAATTTACGCGGCAAACTTACTGTAGCATAGGAAACCGGCGTTTCAGTTGGCCGAAACAGCGTTCAATTGTAACTCTTTCTTGTTTAAAAAGGTTATTATAATTTATTTCTGCACCTGGAGTAGGATTTCTGAAGGGAGTCATAAGGCATGGCTCAATACCATAACCGTCATCGCCAAGTAGTACAACATTTGCTTTATTTATTAGTTGTGATCTAGTCTGTGAATTTCTCCATATTCTGGAATCATGCACTGATCCAGGCCAACTGACATCAACACTTCTGAACATCTCTCCGGCATTACAAGTCCACATTTAAACCGGGTTTCCCTTTTCGGTTTATACGCTCATCTCCATGGCGATTTGGTTTCAAGATTCCTATGTGTATACAATCAATTACACCAATTGCTGTCGGAAATTTATACATGATTTGCCATATCCGCTTGGCCTCCACCAGTTCATGGTTGGTAGTTGGAAACTTGAGCTATTCGTTCTCGACTGTGCAACTATGCTGTTCACAACTCTATCCACAGTCCGAGATACCGTTGCTTGACTAACACCAAGTTCCGGACCAATACCTTGTTGATATCCAGGGTTACCGAGATAGCGTAGACATATCTTCATTTTATGAATACATGAAAGTGCTCCTCCTCGAGTTTCCTCATTCTCAACTAAACATCTGTCCGCAAGCCATTGTACATTTGCTTCGTCGAACCTATATAATTTTTTGAAGTCACGACTAAGTGAAGGTAAACGAGGTTTATACGTTTTAACATCCCTAACATCCACAATTTCTGCCATCATCGTTTGACCACCTTTTGTTACGAAGTTGAGTTTGCGACTGACCACACTCAGAATTTTTGATGGATATGCTTCCTATGCCATGTATAAGGGGAAGATTATGAATATCCTTTCACTTATGTCACTGCTTTGAAGGATATGCTTATACTCAAAAAGCAGAAGCATTTACTTCAAATAATTATAAATACGATCTGAAGGATTTCCTTCAAATTTTGCAAGTACAAGGAATAACCTTTGTTTTATGAATACTGCTCATTAGCCCGTATTTATAAAAATGAAGCACTTACTTTGAAGTAAAAGGTACAAGCAAAAGGTAGAAGTAAAAGGTTTTGCTCTAATTCGTAATCTCTACCTCTTCGTTGCAAGCAAATGCTTCGGGAAAATAAAGTAAAAGGTACGGAGATTAGCGATTTCGACAAGATATGACTTACAGCGTGCAATCAACGCGTATGTGGTCTGTAACTGATGGGGTTGATTTGTCTCATAATTAAAAGCAGTTCGAACGTCAATTGATATAAAGAAGATCCACCTAACTTATTTGTGCAGCTATTTTAAAGTGAATAAAATATTTAAAATGTTTGACACCGATAGTGAACAGGAAGTTACCGAAGATGCCCCTAACGAGATGATGTTTATCGCTGAAAAAGTTCAAGCATTTCCGGAGATTCTCGAGAAAACTCAAGTTCCAGCGATGAAAAAGAAGAAAACTGCTGCATTAACTGATATCGTTAAGGAATACGTTATTTTATTTGGCAAGGAGATGGATATTAAAGCTTTTACGAAAAAAGTGAACAATATGAAAACGCGGCTGAAAAATAAAACTGACAAAAATAAAACAGGGAACAAGCCCATTCGTCTTTTGTCCTGGGAGAAAGTTATGTTAAAGGCTATGGATGCGGACATAAATCCTGTACTAAGTCGGGTGCCTGGTGAGAAATAGATTCAGCTCTTTACTATTACATTGTAGGTACTTATCATGCATGTATATTTTTATTAGGGGGTCTTGCAATTGGCGTGGCAAGTCAACCTTCTTTACCTACTTCAAAGGATGACATTATGGTGGAAAACGACGCTCATCAGATGATTATGCCTCAAGTAGTAGCTAACAAAAAGCGATCCTACACATCGGTTGAAGAGGTTGCTGCAAAAAAAATCCTCCGAAGTCTACCTTTGCTTCGGGCAAACAAGAGTCTGACGAGACGAGGCAGTTAACGACAACCCAGCTTCAACGATTACAAATATATTTTATTAAACGAAAATGCACAAATTTTAAGATGCAGGCTCTAAGATGCCGGGGACAACTAATGATAAAATGAGAAAAGTTGCTGTAACCTATACTCTGGGCGCTGAAGAAAGACATTAAACGTAAACAGTGATCAGCACGTGAACAGATCCCTCGAAAGCATCCACGGATATACTCCAGTCACTTTAGGTCTAAACATCCTCGGCAGTGTATTCCTAGTGAATCCACAGACCCTTTTTCGTGTCATCTTGAGACTAGAAAAAGGATGACTGTTAAAATAAGTTACCTTGATTTTTCATGAGCTCCCAGTACAAAACATCATCGATATATTTTTGATGTAGGAACAACAAATTGGTTTAGAAAACATCCACTTTGAACCTAAATTGACTGGAGTAACATCGATCTACAGACAAATTCAAGGTCACTAGCAGTCGTCGGCGCTCTACGAATCTGCACAGGTTTAGACTTGTAAACGTGATTGTAGATGACACGACAGGCATCTAACAGTTAATTCACGCACAGGATTGCATTGCATACGCATTACGCATTCAGTAGCGTATACTCGTTTTTCGCGAGTGGAACGTTTTGTTTATATATTGCCTAAGATACGATGTCTGACACAGATACAGCCGACGAAGTGATTGACATCAGCGCAACCCCACCCAAAAAAAGGGCTAAGAAGCTACATTTAAGTGCAAATGAAAAACAAATAATATTAAATATATACAAAAACCAAATTCAAGAAAAACCCGATTTGGTCGTGGACGAAGTTATATGTAAGGTAGCACATATTTCTTGAGTATGTCGGTCCAGTGTTTATAGGATCATTAAGGAATATAGGAGCACTCACTCACTTTCTGAGCCAAAACCGTATCCTGCAAGAAAAAGGATAACGGACGGAGTAGATGACTTTGACAGAACTGCCATCAGGAGGAAAGTGCATAATTTTTTCTTCCGAAATGAGATACCTACAGTAGATAAGATATTAAGATTAGTTAATGCTGATGAGGATCTTCCATCATTTAAAAGAACCACACTCCGAAAACTTTTGAAGGAACTTAATTTTCGATTCTTGAAACGGGGAAGTAACAGTATGTTAATAGAGAAAGAAGAAATTGTTGTGTGGAGAAGGGAATACCTTAGGAAGATTCGGAAGTTTCGCGATGAAAAAAAAAAATTACTATTTGGACGAAACGTGGGTGAATGCTGGACATACTCAAGCGAAAGTTTGGGTCGACAAATCAGTAACATCATCAAGGCAGGCTTTTCTAGATGGTCTTTCGGCTGGATTGAAAAATCCTGCAGGTAAGCTCCTTCATCTATCCGGCAATTTAATTTTGATAAATTCGGGCAAATAATATGCTGTGATAGCAGATAATGTGTGATATTCTCCAAAAATGGTGCATTCGCAGTGTAGTCATTAGGAAAAAACTTCGACCCTCTTTTAAGCGTTATTTTGAAATTTATTATCATTTTTAGGTGCAGTCAATTTGCTTTGAATGGGTTTTGAGAAGTTGCAAACTTCAATTTTCTACGTTTTTCAGTTTTTGATCAGCATTCCGTGACTCTTAAATTCAGCTAAATGAACTCAATTGCCTCATTCCTTCAAATTTAATCAATCTATAGTGTAAGGAATAATTTATTTCCAGGAAAAGGCAAACGGCTGATCAATTGTCACGTAGGTAGTGAAGACGGCTTTGTTCCCGAAGCACTGTGGGCCTTTGAATCAAAAAAGACAGGGGACTATCATGAGGAGATGGACGGCAATTCCTTTGAAAATTGGTTCTCCAAAATGTTACTAAAGCCGGAGAATAACGCTGTTATTGTACTGGATAATGCCCCGTACCATTCTAGAAAAATAGAAAAAATTCCCACAATGGCAACTAAAAAAGCAAACATACAACAATGGCTGGCCTCAAAACAGATCGATTTTGATGAAACAATGGTCAAGGGTGAATTGATAAGTATAGTCAATAGACATAAATACAAATACGATTTTAAAATGATCGACGAAATGGCCAAAAAACAAAATAAAACTGTCTTGAGACTGCCACCCTACCATTGTGAGCTGAACCCTATTGAGCTGATTTGGGCCAACATAAAGCAATACGTGGCGTCGAATAATAATACTTATAAATTTTCTGATGTTAAAAATCTCTTTCACATCGCAGTCAATAGAGTTACGACAGAGGAATGGAAAAACTGTATCCGCCACGTTCGGGAGAAGGTTGAGGTCAAAATGTGGGATTTGGACAATCTCATCGATACCCAAATTGAACCTCTAATAATTCATTTAAACGATTCAGAAGATTCAAGTTCCTCTTCTGAATGAGTGCGCGCAGCTTACTTACTAATAACTAAAAAGTGTAGTTAACTCATTTGTGAATCTCTAACTGAAATTTACTGTAAAAGATAATAATTATCTTGTATGAAATTTTTGATGACTACCCATAATATCTTGATGCGGTCCTGTAATGTCTCCTGCGCCTAATCACTCACTCACGAGCAATATGCGTGTATTTGTTTGGGTTTAGTTTCTTTCTTCAGCGCCTAGAGAATAGATTCCTTTTTTAGAAGCAAATCCTTTAGTTTTTAAACAAATGCTTCTTTTTATAAATAAGAAAACGTTAACACCTTTTACTTTACAGAAGCGATACCTTTTCCTTCACTTCTTTTTATGCATATACTTTGAAGGAATTGCTTTATTTTTTTAAAGCAAAAGGTAAAACTTTTTTTTATAAATATGGACTATTATGTCTCACGTATTAATATACATACAGTATTTTTTAACACGTTGACGGACACTCGAAAAACTGGTTTCAAGTAAAAAAATGCACCAGTGTTTTTCATAATCTTTCAAACAGTGATGGAAAAGAGTTATGGAAACACATATTTAGTCTGTTTTTTTTTACATTTTTTATAGAAAAATATACACATATTTGAAAACATTTATTGAAGGTATAGGTAGAACATTACATAATCTAAATCATTCTAAACAGAACATAAAAATAGCAAAGTTTATTTGTGCCGCATCTCAAAACATGTCTCTGGGCAGAGCGGTGGCTTGTCGGTACAAGTTTTGCAACGCAATAAGGTCTCCTTTCTGGTTCTGCTTTTGGTGCAGTATCTGCACAGATTTGGTTAATCCAAACAATGCAAAGATACAGTACACTGCAGCTTCCAAGCCAACAGTAGACTTTAACGAAACTATTACAAACCAAAACGTAAAACATACAACACGAAAACACCCCGCAAGAAAGCAAAACAATAACCCTATACGACTGATACATACAATATGAACATATTTCGTGACGATGAGCTAGCCAATCAGCTTCTTTCAAAATAAGTTTCATGCCTAGTAGGACACTACTCATATATTCACATAAGAATATAGCGGGAAACCCACGTCGATGTCGAGTTGTTCATTGTTGTCCGTCTGTGTCTGGGTGTGTGCGTCCGCTAATCCTTGGCCGTCTATTACTTGGAAAGTACCGGTCGAATTCTGATAAAATGTTTACAAA